CCTCACCCCCATCCTAGGCCCCAAGAAGACTTTCCACATCAAGCAGATGTTCGCCTGCACATCTGCTAATGTGGTTTACTGTATCCGCTGTTCCCATTGTGGCCTCCTCTACATCGGGGAAACCAAGCGGAGGCTTGGGGACCGCTTTGCGGAACACCTACGCTCGGTTCGCAATAAACAACTACACCTCCCAGTCGCGAACCATTTCAACTCCCCCTCCCACTCCTTGGACGACATGGCCATCCTGGGCCTCCTGCATTGCCGCAATGATGCCACCCGAAGGTTGCAGGAACAGCATCTCATATTTCACTTGGGGACCCTGCAGCCCAATGGTTTCAATGTGGACTTCACAAGCTTCAAAATCTCCCCTCCCCTGACCACATCCCAAAACCAGCCCAGCTTGTCCCTGCCTCCCTAACCATTCCTCCCACCTCAAGCCCCACCCACATCTCCTACCCACTAACCTCATCCCGCCACCTTGACCTGTCTGTCCTCCCTGGACCGACCTCTCGCCTCCCTACCTCCCCACCTACACTCACCTTTACTGGCTCCATCCCCGCCTCTTTGACCTGTCTGTCTCCTCTCCACCTATCTTCTCCTTTATCCATCTTCTATCTGCCTCCCCCTCTCTCCCTATTTATTTCAGAATCCTCTTCCCCTCCCCCATTTCTGAAGAAGGGTCTCGACCCAAAACGTGAGCTTCCCTGCCCCTCTGATGCTGCTTGGCCTGCTGTATTCATCCAGCTCTACACCTTGTTAGCTCAGATTCTCCAGCATCAGCAATTCCTACTATCTCTGTAACAATTTTAACCCCACTGCAAAGCCTCTTCTAAGGATGCCTACTTTAAAGAAGTTACCCTCCTCCCTTCGGAAAGACCTCAGTGTATCCCTCTCCCACTGCAACCTTCTTGTAATCTCTTCGGCCCTGAAACTGCTCGACCACATCCTGAAGCAAACCAGGTACTACAGCCATTGTGCCTTTCTGAGTACCTTCTTACAGAACCGGATCATCCCCAATGGACTACAGTCTACATTTAGGCCTTCCCAATTTGGCCCCAACCGCGACCACCGCTACATTCAGAACATTGATATCCTTCAGAAGTGTTTCTCCCTGCAACTCCTGAAATACACACTCGCAGCAGTGCGTCGACATCTCCTGATCCTACAATTAAGCCTACCCCAGCTCAGAGCCTCCCTCTCCTGTTTTTCATTCGTCGTAGGATCCACAACCTGAACTCACAATTCTACTCGGCTTTATTGGACATTAAAATGGGAAAGTACTTTAAACTTACTGGTGCCTGCCACCCTACCCAGGACCTTCCCCACCATGTGCCTGCCGCCATTGGCCATGTGGCCACCTTCGGAGCACCCATGGATGATGTCACATCCGCAGCCGACGCCATTGACACCGCTGCTGATGCTGCCGCCTCGGTTTCCGAGGCCAACACCACAGACATCAAGGACGCCGCTGCCACCAACATCCAAGATTTACCGGCCTATGTCACTCCGCCCAACGCCTCCACAGCCAGCAGCTCCAGAGGAGACAGCAGCACCCAGCCTTGCCGAGTCTTCACCATCCCCCCAGACATCCCCCTCACTGAGGATGAACGGTCAGTCCTCAGTAAAGGGCTTACCTTTATCCCCCTCCACCCAACCTTTATCCCCCTCCACCCAAACATCAAGAATACCACTCCCGCTTGGACGTTGAACAGTTTTTCCGCTGCCGCCTCCGTGCTTACTTCTTTAATCGTGAGCCTAACCCTCCCCCTACTGACCCCTTCTCCCAACTCCAACACACCCCCTTCCTCCTGGACACCACCCCAAGGCCTCCTACCCTCCCTCGAACTCTTCATCTCCAACTGCCGTCGTGACATCAATCGCCTCAACCCCTCCACTCCTCTCACCCACTCCAACCTCTCCCCCACGGAACGTGCAGCCCTCCGCTCCAATCCCAACCTCACCATAAAACCCGCGGACAAGGGAGGCGCAGTTGTAGTATGGCGCACTGACCTCTACATCGCTGAGGCCAGACGCCAGCTCTCTGACACCTCCTCCTACCATCCCCTTGATCATGATCCCATCCCTAACCACCAAACCATCATCTCCCAAACCATCCACAACATCATCACTTCAGGTGACCTCTCACCCACACCCTCTAACCTCATCATTCCCCAACCCCACACCACCTGTTTCTATCTCCTTCCCAAAATCCACAAACCTGCTGCCGTTGACCCATTGTCTCCGCCTGCTCCTGCCCCACCGAACTCATCTCCACTTATCTCAACTCCATTTTCTCACCCTTGGTCCAGGAACTCCCCATCTACATCCGTGACACCACCCACGCTCTCCACCTCCTGCAAGACTTCCGATTCCCTGGTCCCCAACACCTCATCTTTACCATGGACGTCCAGTCCCTGTACACTTGCCTTCCCCATGCAGATGGCCTAAAGGCCCGCCGCTTCTTCCTGTCCCGTAGTCCTGACCAGTCCCCCTCCACTGACAGCCTCATCCGCTTAGCTGAACTTGTCCTCACCCTTAACAACTTCTTCAACTCCTCCGACTTCCTACAAACAAAGGGGGTGGCCATGGGTACCTGCATGGGCCCAAGCTATGCCTGCCACTTTGTAGGATACATGGAACAATCCCTCTTCCAAAGCTACACTGGGTCTATCCCCCACTTCTTCCTCTGTTACATCGATGACTATCGGCGCCGCCTCGTGCTCCCATGAGGAGCTCGAACAGTTCATCCACTTCACTAACACCTTCCACCCCAACCTTAAGTTCACCTGGACCATCTCTGATACCTCTCTCTCCTTCCTGGACCTCTCTGTCTCCATCTCTGTCATCCACCTGGAAACCAATATCCATTTCAAGCCTACCGACTCCCACAGCTACCTAGAATACACCTCCTCCCATCCACCTTCCTGCAAAAAGGCCATCCCCTATTCCCAATTCCTTCGCCTCCGCCACATCTGCTCCTGAGATGAGGCATTCTACTCCCGGACATCTCAGATGTCCTCGTTTTTCAAGGACCGCAACTTCCCCTCCACAGCAGTCAAAAACGCCCTCGACCGTGTCTCTCACATTTCCCGCAACTCATCCCTCACACCCCCTACCCGCAATAACAAACAAAACAGAATCCCCCTCGTCCTCATGTACCACCCCATCAACCTCTGAATCCAACGCATCATCCTCCAACACTTCCGTCATCTGGAATCCGACCCCACAACCAAAGACATTTTTCCCTCCCCGCCCTTATCTGCTTTCCAGAGGGACCACTCTGTCCGTGACTCCCTTGTCCGCTCCATACTCCCCACCAGCCCCACCACACCCAGCACTTTTCCCTGCAACCGCAGGAAGTGCGACACCTGCCCCTACACCTCCCCCCTCACCTCCATCCCAGGCCCCAAGAAGACCTTCCGCATCAAACAGATGTTCACCTGCACATCTGCTAATGTGGTATACTGCATCCGCTGTACCCGTTGTGGCCTCCTCTACATCGGGGAAACCAAGCGGAGGCTTGGGGACTGCGTTATGGAACACCTACGCTCGGTTCGCAACAAACAACTATACCTCCCAGTCGCGAACCATTTCAACTCCCCCTCCCACACCTCAGACGACATGTCCATCCTGGGCCTCCTGCAGTGCCACAATGATGCCACCCGAAGGCTGCAGGAACAGCATCTCATATTTCACTTGGGAACCCTGCAGCCCAATGGTATCAATGTGGACTTCACAAGCTTCAAAATCTCCCCTCCCCCGACCGCATCCCAAAACCAGCCCAGCTTGTCCCCGCCTCCCTAACCATTCCTCCCACCTCAAGCCCCACCCCATCTCCTACCCACTAACCTCATCCTGCCTCCTTGACCTGTCCGTCCTCCCTGGACTGACCTATCCCCTCCCTAACTCCCCACCTACATTCAGTTTTACTGGTTCCAACCCTGCCTCTTTGACCTGTCTGTCTCCTCTCCACCTATCTTCTCCTTTATCCATCTTCCATCTGCCTCCTCCTCTCTCCCTATTTATTTCAGAATCCCCTTCCCCTCCCCCATTTCTGAAGAAGGGTCTTGATCCGAAACTTCAGCTTTCCTGCTCCTCTGATGCTGTTTGGCCTGCTGTGTTCATCCAGCGCTACACCTTGTTATCTCTGTCCTTACTGGTATTGAGTGGCTCCAAATGAAGCAAGGCAAACCAGACGGCATTACTGCAGGGATTATCAGGGCACACAAGTCTGTTCACCAGGTAGCAATCCACTTAGACGGACAGCTGTAATATAACCTCTGGCACATGCATTCACATTGCAGTGTTTTGCAGATAATGCTTTTGAAGAATATTGAGGTGCAGTGTTTGATTTTGCATGTATTTCCAAAATATCTGGTACTATTTTTCATTATTATTTCATGGAATGTGAGTATCATGGAAAGGCCATCATTCATTGTTCACCCCCAAATGCCCTTGAACTGATTTCACAGCGCAGTTGAATCAACCACATCGCTGTGGGTCTGGACTTACATGTAGATCAGACTAGATAAAGATAGCAGTTAAAGGTTTTAAAAGCCATTTGTTAACTGGATGGGTGTTTTTGTGACAATTGATGATTTCATGAAGTATAATGTATAGATTTTTTTTTGTTGTTGTAAGCTGATATATGACTGATTAAAAACAGGAAATTAACCTTTTTATGCCCTCACATAATTCAACTGTAATTATATGGTGCCACTACGGAGAAATATTTTCTTTAAAGCTACTTGCATTCTGGAGCACTTTGGACAATGATAAATGTGACCAACATGAAGGGACAATTTTTCACCCAGTGGATGAGCACAAATCTTCCTTGCATAGATGCAAAAGAAGTTAAAAAGGTGTAAGGGAACGTTTTGTGCCTATTTTTCTTACACTCTTTTTCATCTAGACTTACTAGGTAACATTTGAAATGGGTGTAATGCATACTCATACAAAGTAGAATACAGTAAATAGAAAGAAATTATTTCCTCCAGTCATGGAATCCAGAGCAAGAGGTGACAACCTTGAAATTGGAGCTAGGTTATTCTGGAGCAATCACAGTCAAGAAGTAATTTTTCACATAAAGGAAGGGGAAGTAGAAATCTAGATCTGTTTCACCTGTTAACTCCCAAATTGCTGAGGCTAGATCATTCAGAAATATATTCATTTTTGTTTAGGAGCAAAATGAAGGGATGAGGAACCATGGTAAGTAAATGTAACTCAGATACAGATTTACTATCATCAGATTCATGGGGCTGAATTGCCTCCTCCTGTTCCTAAAATCTGCAATGGCTAGTTTTCCATACAAAAGACTAACTTAGTGGATATCAGTATAAATAGGAGATAAGGTTTTTACATTTGACTTCAATGCTTATTAGGAAAAAGAGTTTTCATTTCTAAGTGTCAACTGTTGGGTCTTGTGCCTGTGCATGTGTAGATATCCATGACTGAGTATCTTACCGTGAGGAATGAGTGGCCAGCAGTGTTCTAGATCAATAAAATAGACACCAGCCAATCAGGGTTGGGGGGAAAATAAGTTAGGGGAGAAGTAAACTAATCAACATTCTATCTTATTATTAAGTATTTAAGTGGTTAAATCCTCCTATTTGTATTAATTGATTTTCCAAGGCAAATGCAAGGTATAAAAATTATTCTATGGTTTTTAATAATAATTCTGTGTATAATGTTGATTGCAGATAATGAACATGCCCTTTTCAATACATTATGTAAAATTCCGGTTTTGCTGGACTGCATTAAACAGAACTGTCACTATGAGACTGAAGGTAACAGTAACCTCAAATTTTCCACTTTTCATGCTGTCATTGTCACCAAAGAAAAATATTCCCTCGTTACCGATAGTACGTGGCTTTATTTGTAGTGAATGTGCTGACCAGATACTTCCATTAAGCCCTGTCCTCTGACTGTCCGTGTGACCCTCCAATATTAATGCATACTGATCGCATGACACATTTACATCAAATTTATTATGTTTTTTTTCACACCGTCTATAGTAGGTGGCAGAACTTCAGAACATTTAAAGGGGCAAGATGGTGGCTCAGTGGTTAACACTGCTGCCTCAGCACCTGGGACCTGGGTTCAATTCCACCCTCGAGCTGGTCTGTGTGGAGTTTGCAAGTTCACCGTGTCATGCATAGGTTTCCTCCAGCTGCTTTGGATTCCTCCCACAGTCCAAAGATATGCAGGTTAAGTGGATTGGCCATGTTAAATTGCCCATAATTTGTCCAGAGATGTGTAAATTAGGTAGATTAGCCATGGGAAATGCAGAGTTGCAGAGATGGGATGGGTCTGGGTAGGATGCTCTTTGGAGGGTTGGTGTGGACTCAATGGAATCCCTGCTTCCACACTACAGGGATTCTGGGATTCTATGATTTAAAAGTGGTCTGGGTCAAAGGATTTTTGACGGCTTCTGCTTATGACTTTGGACAGTGATCACTCCATCTCATGAAGTTAAGGAGGGGCAGAGTAGTTTTCCATGGGGAAAGAAATGAGGTTCAGAAAGAAAGTGTGTCATGATCATTTTGTCTGTTGTCTGGAGCTGAAAGTCTTTTTGAGCGAATAAGAGATTAAAATGTAAAAATGATGGTAGGAACATTCAGTGCAGTATATAATGTGATTAGTCCATAAGGATTCCCCCAGATATCCAATAAACCTTTGGTAAGAGAACCACAAACACCTTGGGAAAATGAGACTTCTTTGCATGCCAAGGAGCATAAGTAGCATCCAATAGGCAGGGATGAGCAATCCCACAATCAATGGATCAGATCTAAGCTTTGCTGTCCAAGCACATTCTGTGGTGAATGGTGGTGGACAACTAAACAACCTACAGGAGGTTGAGGCTCCATAAGTATCCCTTTCCTCGAAAATGAGGGAATCCAGTATGTCTGCAAAAGGTAAGGTTGAAGTATTTGCATCCATATTCAGCCAGAAGTGCCAAATGGACAATCCATCTGGCCATCTTCTGAGATTCCCACCTTCACCACTTCAATTCACTCCACGTGATATCAAGAAATGGCTGAAGACATTGCATATGGCAAAGGCTATGGTCCCTGGGACCCTTATTTTTTTGTAATATACATAATTGATATAGATGAAAATGTTGGGCGGAATGCTAAGCAAATTTGCAGACGACACTAAGATTGGTAGAGTGGTTAAGAGCAAAGGAGATGGATGTAGATGGGTTAGTCAGATGGGCAGACAAGTGGCAGATGGTATTTAACCCTGATAAGTGTGAGGTGATGCACTTTGGAAGAAGAAACAAAATTTAATGAATGGCAGGACACTAGGTCGGTTAGAGGAACAGAGGGATTTTGAGATAATTATTCACAGATCCCTGAAGTCAGCAGAGCAAGTGAATAGGATAGATAAGAAGGTATATGGGGCACTTGCTTCCATCAGTTATGGCATTAAGTATAAGACCGAGGAGGTAACCACTGAATCCCATCCTATGGGATTACTACTGACCATAAACTGAACTGGACAAACCTGATAAGTACTGTGGCTACACAGCAGTAAAAGATTAGAAATCCTGCATTGAGTAACGCACCTCCTATTTCTACAAAGCTATCCATCACCTGCAAGGCACCAGTCATGAGTGTGATGTATTACTCTCCACTTGCCTGAATGAATGCAACTCCAACGATAGTCTCACAATCTCAATCTTGCATGTACCAGGTGCTGCTCTTGACACACCCCCCTGCAAGCTTCATTGAAACAGGTTCAATGGTAATGGTAGAGTGGGGCTATGTAGAGCCATGAGATTGTAGAATGTGGTTGAATACAATTCTACTGCTGCTGATGGCCCACACCTCTCATGGATTTCCAGTCTTGAGGTGCTAGATTTGTTCAAAGCCTGCCGATTTAGAACAGGTTGTGTGACGATGCATCTGATGAAGAGCATCCCTAGTATGAAGACAGCACTTCACTTCATCTCCATAGGACTATGTAGTCGGCACACCTCATTATACTGTCATGGATGGTCTCGGCCACACCAAGCAGAACGATGAGGATGAGGACAAGTAGAAATATCCCTCTGCTGTTTCCCCATCACCTTCCACTGACCCTGTTTAGCTGCTATGCCCTGTAGGACTCAACAGCTCAATCAGTCCTGGTGCTGGTGAGCCACCCTTTGTGATGGACATTAAATTCCTCCAACCAGAGCACATTCTTGATCCATGTGCTTCCTCCAAATGCTATATAACACTGTGGAGGATCTGATTCATCAGTGGAGGATGGTGGTAACCAGCAGGGGTTTTGCTTGCCTATGTTTGACCTGGTGCCATGAAACTTCATAGTGTTCTGAATCAATGTTGATAATTCCCAGGGCAGCTTCCTTCTAACTGTACACCACCTCTTCTGGCTCTGTCCTGCTGTGGTTTAGGACATTCCCTAGCGTAAAGGTAAAGTCGCTGTAGTCTTACCAGGCATTTGAGGGAGACTGGTGATGCCTTACTCTGAGATTCACCATGCCTCAGGCAAGGGGAGAGGTTGAGGAGGAGAGTCCTTCATGGTCACGCAAACCATGCTGTTATTCAGGGATGTGCAGGCTAGATGGATTAGCCATTGGAAATATAGGGTTACAGGGATAGGGTAGGGGGTTGGTTGCAGGTGGGATGCTCTTCAGAGGGTTGGTGTGGACTCCATGGGCCGAACGGCCTGTTTTCACACTGTAGGAATTCTATGATTATGTTGTTGTCCAGGACACTGTAACATATGATTTCCTGAGTATGACTATGTCTGGTTGTCTCTTGACTATGTGGGAGAACAGGTCTCCAAATGTAGGTAAGGAGGACTTGCAGAGTCAACAGAATTCCACTTGTGTTCCCATTCCCAGTGCACAGGTCAACGTCAGGTGGCCCATTTAGTTTCATTCTTTACACTTTGCAATAGCTCAATACAACTGAGGGGACTGCTAGGCCATTTCAGAGGGTAGTGTAGAATCAAGCACATTACTGATACATTTGGAATCATGTGTAGGCCAGACCAGGTAAGGATGGCTGATTTCCATCCCTTAGGGACATAAATGAATTAGTTGGGTTTTTACAATAATCGGCAGTGGTCACATGGTTGTCACCAGACTAGATATGTGAACATTTCTGTTATGGAGTACAAACGTATTAAACAATGCAGAAAAATTATTGAGAAATAGTTAATTCCAGTATGTATAAAAGGAGTATAAGAAATTGAAAAGAGAAGTTCATATTGGGATTTTCCAGCTTTTTTTTGTACTGATTTGATCTGCACTTCAGCTGAAGTTGATCTAGCAGACGAGACCGGACAAGTGAAGAACTTATCACAAAACCAACATTGCTACGCCTCTGACATCCTCACTGAACGAGAAGTTTATATTCTTCTTGGAGTCAACAGTAAGTAAATTCCACTAAAGAAATAAACTAGGTAACTATACAGGTCAGTTCGAAAGGAGAATATTTCAAAGCTGTAATAGGGGTAAAGTGAATACCTAGAATGAAGTTTGTTCATTCAAATTTGAAAATTTAACAGTGCTCTTTGAGGTACTCGCATTTTAATGACAGTGCTGTGAAAGGTTTTACGTAGTTTTTTTAAGGCATGAAACAGCAGTAAACGTTGGGTATTGGAGAAACAATAACACTGTTTATAAGTAACATTAGTTCTAACAATGAGAAGACAAATAGTAGAATTTCAGTTAGTATCAAATCCTGGAAGGGAAATTCAAGGATTCTATTATTCTGTAACCCTGATAACTAGTACAAAGTGACACAAGGGAATATTAAGGAAATAGGAGCAGAAGTAGGCCATTCAGCTCTTTGAGCCTGCTCCACCATTCAGTATGATCATCTCTGATCATCTAATTCAGTACCATGTTCCTGTTTCTCCCCTATCCTCTGATCCCATTAGTCCTAAGGACTATATCTAACTTCTCCTGAAAACTCTCAATATTTTGGCCTCAACTACATTCAGTGACAGAATTCCACAGGCTAACCAAACTCTGGATGAAGAGATTTTTCCTCCTACCATTCCTTACTGGCCTAGCCCATACCCTTGGACTGTGACCCAGATACTGGACTCCCTGATCAGTGGAACATCCTTCCTGCATTTACCCTGTTGAGCCATGTTAGAATTTTATAGATTTTTACGAGATGCCTCCATCCTTCTTCTAAGGTCCAGTGAATTTAGTACTAACTAATCCAGTTTCTCTTCATAGATCAGTCCTGCCATCCCAAGGATCAGTCTGGTAAACCTACATTGCACTCCCTCCATAGCTACAACATCCTTCCTCAGATAAAGAAGCCAAAATAACACACAATACTCCAAGTGTACTCCCTCACTAAGAACCTGTGCAATTGCAGCAAGACATTCCTGCTCCTGTATTCAAATCCTCTCACCATGTAGGCCAATATATTATTTATCACCGTCACTGCCTCCTGCACCTACATGCTTACTTTGTGACAGGTGCATTGCACCTCCCCCTTTTCCAATCTATCACCACTCATAATAATCTGCCTTCCAGTTTTTGCAACAAAGTGGATAACCATGCATTATCTACATTATACTTATTTTGCCATGCATATTCCCACTCAACCAACTTTGTCCATATCACTCTGAAGCATCTCTGCATCCTCCTCACAGCTCACCCTCCTGCCCAGAATCTATGTAATCTATGAGCAAGACCATTTTACCCTCTGAAATGAAGGAGTAAAGCAATGAGGTAGCAAAGCAATAATAATTACTGAAGGCAGAATGGCTTAAGAATCACAATAACTGCTCTGTACCTTGGAAAAGTGTTTCTCACTCTGAATGTGCATTTTTGTATCTTCTAGAACCAAACAGGGCCTCAACACCTGTCTATGTACCATTACTGAACAATGATGATATTGTCAATTCCAAATTCCTAGGTAGGTCAAAATATTTGTATTCATTCCTCACATTAGAATGAAAAATGTGGCTCTGCTTGTCAGTGTATAGAATGACAATTAATGAAACAATCATATTGTAGAATTTTTTCTTTCAACTGGTGTTTACAAAATGCCATTTAAGTTGCAACTAAAGGAGCCTGCCAGTTAGAAACCTCTTCAAAGGCAGTGGGGATGTTCTATAGGTAGCCTAATGTTACAAATGGAATCAGGCTGTTTCTTCATACAGTGATCCTCAGTTTACCAAGATAGGGTATCAGCCACTCTAGATTTTTCAGAGGCTTCTGAACAACAAAGGAAGCAAAAATGTTTTGGAGGACCAATGACTTGGATTTGGGGGGAAAGGGGGTCAGTGTTACTGTGGAAGTTATAAGGGAGGGAGTTGGAGTGTGATGAGGGATTTCCTCTCTAGCACCTCCCAGTGGTGGATACCTGGCAGCAATCTGCGGCCAACTTCTTTCAAAAACAAGTAGGTAAAACAGGAAAGATGTTATAATTAAAGTCAATGCAAAACCAACAAAACAACTTTTAAAAAAAAAAATTCAATGCTAACAATACAAAATCAGTTTTGAAGATAAACAAAATAGTTATTTCAGTATCAGAGAAGGAGACCATTCAGCCCATCATACCAGCACCAGCTTGTTAAACGAGCATTGTTACCGGGCGACCAACCGTGTGAAAGTCTGCTCCAAAATCACTGATGTCTCCAATAAACGGCAGACGTGACAAAGTCTATCTTATTTAAAAATGTCATCCTCCGTTGACATTTGGTAGAACTGTGTTTAACCACAACTGTAATACTGATAGGTCTCAATCAAAGTAAAACACTCAAGGGATTGATTGCAGATTCAAATCTTTTTCTTTGCATTCTTTATCTTGAAGCTAAACTCGGAGCCCGACTGGATTCTCTAAGTCAAAACCGAGGAAATGTAAAGAAAATGCGCAAAAAGTCTGCATCACCATCTCCCTCACGTTTATCCACCACAGATGGTGAGAAATCTTTCTTACTGCAAACTAGTCAAGGTATCTGTTGTTTAAAGTACATTTAATACACGTTTTAGCACATAGGCACATTAGGGACGTTCCCCAATAGTGCTGCCAATGCTTCCAGTACATTTACATCTTCCCTTGTTCCCCTGCTGACTCTCTCCTTCTCATCATTCCTTTCCTGAGCCTTTTTCTCTGTGAGGTTTTCAATTTTAAAACTACAGGTCAGGAACTTAACCAAATCTTATTGTATATTTTCTAATGAAAAAGTGCCATTTATAGGAATACAAATGAAGTTCTAAATGTGGGATAACTGTAATGTTCCTGTTGACTATGCTGTGGTCATGTCTAGATAATCAAGGACTGTACTAAATCTAGTTTAATTGATCACATATTTCTAGCTTGCAGAACTTGCTCAAAACAAACAGCCTGCTGATTTTGCTTAGATTGTCACAATGGCCACCTTTATTCAAAAGATAACTGATTGGATGCTAAATAGTTTAGGAAGCCCAAGGATATCACAGATGCTAAATAAGCACAAGATCTTTCAACTCTTGTGTAGAATCCAGGCATGAAGAGTTTTTTTAAAATCACCAATAGTTCATTCTCATTCAGCAAAAATTAAATTGTCTGACTTGGAAAAGTCTACAATTTGAACCCAGGAAATGGTACATCTGATCGAAAGAGAGTACCTGCTTTCGTGAAGTACGTGTTAAGATTTCAGTACATCCTAGTACGCTTTGCAGCAAATAATTTCTGAATAGCAAGGTCCCACAAAAAGCAATTAATGTCTAGATTGTGGTTCAAATTAAATGTCAGTTAGTTCAGCTGAAGAACCACCCCCCTTGCTCTCTTTGAATAGAGCCTTGTAATCTTTTGTGTCTACCTGATTGAGCCTGATTTTAGTCTCATAACCACATTCAAAGATATTTCCTGCAGCATCATGATAATATACCAACCTCTAATGTAGAATTAAAGCTAACATTTGAATACATAGAAGTTGACAGGAAAATAAAGTAATTGGGCAATTAATTATGGCCAAGTCTATGATTTATATTCAGCCTTATTGTTTTACAGCAGCTTTGTGTTATAAATGCTGATTGTTTCCTGTCAGGTGGTAATACTATTCATATTTCTTTGTCAGGTAAACAGAGCACTTCACCCAACGGGAAACATAAAAATACCTCAACACCTCAATAAGGAAAGCACTGAGCCTGAAACACACTCATGGCACTTACTGGAGTTGCATTCAGTTGTATATTGCAATCCATACTTATTGAAACTGTTTTCTGGATCGCAAAATTTATGGAACTGTGGTTTTTCCAGTTATTCTGCAAGACTAGGAATGGAAATCAATAAAGCACATCAATTTTTTTCTCCCATCCTTTTCATAGCAAGCATAACTCATTTACTTGGAACAGGAGTAAAGGTCATTAAAGTAGCATTTTAATAGTTTACAGTGCTTTATTTTCACTTTAAGCTTACACTATACATTAAAAACTTTCATCTTCTATTGATTTAATAAGGTGCTGATACAAACAGTGACATTATTTATTTAGAAATTTATTTGTGTAAACTGCAAGGGGCTGGGATATAATTATATAATTGAAATTTTTAAATACTGGGCCAAAACTTGCTTCTAGAGAACTAGTATAGTGAAGTGACCAGCAACTGAAATCTCTCCAATTTCAAAATTACTGCTCCCCAACTTTAGTTATATAGAAGCAAACTATGAAGAAGAGGAAATTCTAATGCGGTTTTAACACAGAACAAAGAAATGATTCTTCCCTCCTGCATGCTTGCTGCTGCTGGCCAGCCTTAATCTTCTTCAGTCCAGTAGTGAAGGGGTCACATATAGTTTCACAAGATGGCTGTCAATAATACATGTTTTTGTCCCACCAACCTGTAACAAACACATTGTCCTATTAATATTTAAATTGTTCCATATTTCTCTTAAGGCTATCATGATTTTGTTGTTTAGTTACATTTGCTGCTCAGTTAGAAGAATTCTCTATTCATGGGTACAGCCATGACATGTCCACTCACCATCTTGAATGTGCATTTCTTGCCAGAATTTGTCATGCCTTATATTTTGCATCCCTGAGACAGATTTTACTGTGTAATGTTACTTGTAAAACAAATTCAAGTCTCAAAAGTCCCCATTTCAGCTTGTGGAAGTAGCAAACACTATTGTTGTATGATGGATCCCATACCACAACTCATCAGGCATCCTCCTTATTGAGACTGGTCTATGGGATCTGTTTGCTCTTGCCTTAAACAACATGTAGTCTTTTTTTGAAACATTGTAGCAACTATGTACAAATTATGTTGGCATGATAAGCATTGTTAATGAGACATGAGAGTCTTAATATTAGATGTTACTGCAAGGTCCAAATTGTTCTTTTGCCTGTGTCTGTAAGACATCATCATAGTAGGCAATGCCTAATGCACTGCTCAGCATTAACCCTTTCAGATTCTTGCACCCTTGCACAGTATGTTAGAGGATGATCATTGGATTATGAAGTTTAGCAAGGAGATACATTAATGTGAGCCCATGAAATCACTTCCTTAGCGTTACTGTTGTATGATCACACTGTCTGCACTGGCTTTTAATGTTTGTTCCAAACAAAACAGTGACCAGGAAATTGGTCACACCACAAGTTATATTTCCCAACAAGTATCTAACTGTTGTTAGAACCTCTTAAAAACATACTTCTCAGTGTGTAACCCAGATAAAGATGTCAAGCCTAAGGAATTTTATCGTAACATTGCTAAAACGAGAAATTCAAAGTTTTCATTTTGCACCCTTCAGGATTGAGAATTAACACAAGAAACCAATCTTAAAAGGGAATAACAATTTGTACAACACGAGGCAAATATGTTCATATGTTGAACAGTAGTAGGCATGGAGATGCAGCTGGAACTGTGAAACTTATGGCAATGTCCTGATCAATCACAGTCTTAAGGGAATGTAGAAGAGAGAGTTCTGCCAGTGAATAGGCCTATGCAGAAAATAATTGGCCATTTTAAGAGTTAACTACAATTTCTTCCTCATAGTTGGTGTTCCAAAAGGAAGAATTAGGAGGTCATTTCATTAGAAAAAAGATCAACACTGTTCACAGAATCTCCCATTGTGAAGCAATCATTCAAGAAAGAGCTGCAATATGATTTTAAAGAAAAGCCTGAAAATTTGATCTTAAGTACCTAAAAGGCATATGGACTTAGAAGGTGAGCACTCAGGACAGTTCACCCAATTCACAACATGCAGAATTTTTAGCTGAAGATGCTATGCTCATTGCAAAGCTATGAATTGAGAGAAAAGTCATGGGTGAAGTTCTTTACTACAAATCCATTTGTCATTTGTACTGAAAAAGGGTTTTTTTAAAATTGAGAACATGTGTTATGAAGACTTACTTCCAGGGTATTTGCGAATGAAGAATTTACGGATTTCATCATATACAAATATTAGAATTGCAAAAGGAACAGCTACAAACCAGTACTGAACCCTGAAAAGAATAGAAGTATTTAACATTAGAATTTATACCATGTAACTAAACATACTGAGCTCTTTAGTACAAAACTGAATAAATACAAACTGTTTGCAAGCACAGAACGAAAGGGAGGCAGTAACATTGCCAATCTTGTGAGAACATGCATTCAAATCCCACTATGGAAAATAGTTAAATTTATATAGTCATAGATCATGGAAACAGACCCTTTGGTCCAACCAGTCATGCTGACCATAATCCCAAACTAAACTAGTACCCCAGTTGCCTGCGCTTGACCCATATTCCTCCAAATAGTTCTTATTCGTATACTTAGCTAAATGTCTTTCAAATATTGCAACTGTATCTGCTTCCACCACTTCCTCTGGAAGTTCATTGAATTCAAATTCAGTAAAAGCCTGGAATAAACAGCTGTTGATTATCATAAAAACTTAATGTCCTTTAGGGGAGGAAATCTGCGATCCTTACCCAGTCTAGCCTACGTGATTCCAGACACACTGCAATTTGGTTGACTCTGAACTGCCTTCTAGGCAATTAGGAATGGGTAATAAATATTGGCCCAGCCAGCACCATGCCCATCAAATTTTAAAAAAAGGCCATCAGGTTTTTAATTGTATTTTTGACATCTATATAAGGGTTATATATAAAAAAATTGTACACTATTTATAATTCAGCTCCTGACTGCACTTCTGTACACAAAGTGTCAGGTCTGTATACACAACTCCAGGTCACAGTATGACTGAAAACAGGGTACCGTTTGAAATTTCATGACGTTCTCAACAGTACTAATTTCACTACTCGCCACTTTCAGCCCAATCTTAACAGAAATCTATCTACTTTGGTTTTGATATTTCAAACTAGGGTATGACATCGTTTTGGATTTGTGCTAGCATTTAACAAGGAATTAATCAACTGCATTTTGGAATTGGAACAATGTTATAATCATTTTTTAAGGTTCTTTATTGTTTTCCAACTGGTCATATTCCTGCCACATGAACTTAAACTTTCTTTTACAATAAAAGATATCCTTCCAGGGCAAAGCAACATACGTTTACAAAAGTGATTGAGAATATATACACTGGCACAGAATCTCTCACCTGAGAAAGGTGAAGTGAAGGCTGTTTTGCATCCCAGGAACATAACAAAGCACAACAGCAATGCCAACCTGGGAGAGAAGACCTATCCAGAGCACTTTATTTCTGGAAAATAAGGAAAAATTGACTGGTTCAGAAACGTTTCAAAAAAAAGAATAATCCTAATACCCATTGATCTCACAACCTCCCTGTTTAGATTCCAAATTCCATTCTCAGCACCACATCCCTAGTTCATTCATAGTTTAAATCTTGTGGTATTTGTGCCATTCCACAGCTTTCCTTAATGCCCCTCCACAATCAAACTACTCTCAAATCGATTTAAATGTTGCAGGAAAAGTATTGTCCTACAAACAGTTTGGCAATTAATTCTGCATAGGTACCAGATTAAGTTTCAGATAAACACTGAAAAGTTATGTTAATTTTTCAACCTTCCTAAAAGTTACAAATGAGCAACATGGCTGTACATTACGATATAATATTTCAGAAATGTAATCACGTAAACAATGCAAGTATTACAGAAAATCAGGTGACCCCCTACCTGAATATACCCTGCTGGAAAATAGAATTCCGTCTGGTTTTACGAATGATTAAATCAGCGAGCTGTTCAATGACAATTCCAACGAAGAAAGCTGTGTAGCAGGTCCATTCCATGTGCAGCCTCTGTTGGTAGGTCTTTGAGAAAAGAGAATTGAATGTTTTACAGATGTGCCTTAGGCAGAACCTTAACTCAAAGGAGGTAGTTTCCCAATTCCCAATCCCCCCTCATATTGATTTGGCCATCCATTGGCTTGCAATGGAGGACAGGCACATTGCAGGATGCATTGGCCAAGGCAAAATTGAAGGAAGGTATTGAGATTCAAAAGGCACACAGCTCTTCTCCAGCAAACTGTATTCAAGGGAGAGTGGGGCAACTGTCCTGGAAACTGGGGATGTTGTCTGGAAGTTGGCAATGATGATTTTTTTGGAATCTTGCACAATTCTAGAAGGATGATCTGTCTGAATGTGAAGGGATCTAAGGTTAAAACAATGCCAATCCCCTACAAATGATGCCAGTGTGTTCCGAGGAAACATGTCTCTCAACTCACCTCAAATGCGGATGCCTTCTCATTCATGCTTTACAGAAAGCAGCTGCCACCAGCCCCAAGGGACCCTTTCTAACCTTAGAAGAGGAGGACAGAGCCCCAGAGAGGGCAGATCACATATACTGCATCTAGCACCACGCAGATACATGCAACTCAGTGACTATGCCTGTCTCAGCTGTAAAAGATCAATGCACTGGTGTGAGCACATTGACTGCTGGTCTTCAACTGCAGAGGCTGAGATGGAGCGTGCCTCAGGCAGTCGGAGGGCTGCTGGACATGACCAGATGTTGAGTCCTAGGCTGATGATGAAATTCTGGGATCATCCGACAGGTAACAGATTGTGGAAATACAACGTGAGGCATATAGCAGCAATGCCAGATGGTTTGCATATTTTAAAAAAGATAGTGGAAGACTCCATCCAAGCTGTGGTCACTGTGATTATCTGGTCTACAGATGCACAGTGTCTTCCATTGAGATAGTAGGGACCATTATGAAGGGTTAATCTCATGTTCTGACCTGCAATTCATCACCTTGTCTCATGGCACTGGGGCCCAGAGCCAAGGTAAGATTGGAATGAGGAGCCTGGAGTTAAATCTGGGTCCTGCTTTTTTTCAGCAAAGCAGGGAAAAACAAATGGATCACTTGGAAGCGGTTGATGCCTTCAGGAGGCACCTCTCTGGGCATCTGAGATATAGGCAGCCACCCAACCTCTATAGTATGGGAAGCTTTTGGGTTTGCTTATAGATTTCACCCCACCGGATTTCACACTCACATGGACCAGCAACTGTCCCATGCTCAGAACATAACATTCAACCCGGGAAGCCAATGTAGCTGACCAAGAATAAAGATTTTAGGCAAGTGAGAACTTGTTATAGGAGAGGATATGTGTGGCAGAGTTTGAGGTGACCAGAAATGTACGATGCACAATGCACAGGTAATCAGCCAGTAGAAAATAGGAAATAGTCATTTCTCAAAAGGGACAAAGGTATTAAAGATGATGTCACGGCACATGGGTTGAGGTACGGGCAAGGTTGAGCAAGGCTGTAGAATTGAAAATAGCGAGTCTTCACAAAGTCTTAGGTCAAGAATTCAGGTAGGGTTAAAAATGATGCCAGTGCTGCATACAGACTGGTCCAGCACAAGACTGGTGCCAGAAAATTGGTCACATTTATGTCAGAGACCAAAGGCAATGAATTTGATTTTTGTCAGTGTTTTAGTGGTGAAAATTTCAACTCATTTCATCTGGATTTTGAAAAGTTTGGTCACCACATAAGCTATCAAGATGTTATGACCAAGTTAGACATGCACCAGAAGCCAATCACAAAAATGGCACTGAGTTAATATAAATTAATATAAATAACTAAGTGTACATCAATTATATTATGTTTCATTTCGAATCAGCAACTGCAATTCAACAAGCAATTTATTTGTTGCAAAATGATTTGAGATGTCCCAAGGACATAACAACATATTGTATAATTAAAGGTCTGAAGCTAATGGCTTTATTATGCCTCATTGGAAATAATTCATACCCATTCTTGTCCATAGCTATCTTCAACATCATTATTAGTGGAGTCTTCCCATGCTAAACGTATGCCAAGAATCCTTGAAGGAAGCCAGCCTTGGTCTGCCAAGACAGTAAAATAACAAAGAAACCCTCCAATGGATTGCGTCACTCCTGTGTATGCAGGCAAAATCAGTAATTCAGGCTGGTTCACACAGAAAACTATAAAGTCACTAAAATCACATCTGTTTTTGTATAAGGATCGCAAAAGTATTTATTCAAAATGGATTTAAAACTTTGTTGCCTTTCATTTTTGTTTTAAATGTATACTTTCTGTTTTTTATTAGATCCAGAAGCAGGATCAAGGATCAAAAATGTTGTCTTCTTCAAAAACCCTATTTCATTACTGTTTACTGTCTCAGAAGCTGATTCATTTGACAGGTGAAATTTCAAAAACTCATAGATATGCTTTGCAATGGAAACATGCACTCTATCATACTTCAGCACTTAAATTCCTGCCAAACTCAGTGACGGGACTGTGTGGTCATGTTAAGATTCACAGTCATGTGTTCAAAGGCAAAAAGTAAAATATTTACCAATAATCTATATTCTTTTAGTGACCAGTTTCTTTGTTGATTATGATGGTTTCATGAAAGTTGTAAAGATTTACTTTTATGGCTGTGTAACTTTTTAAAATAATAGGAATAAGCCAGTCAGTTAGATCATGAAATAGTAACTCCACTATGATTTTATCCCACACTCCTGGAGGACCCTTCCCTAATAAGTCTGTCAATCTCAAACTTTAGAATTCCAATTAACTCATTATCCAGAGTTTTTTGGAAGGACAGAATTCCAGAGTTCCAATATCCTACATGTGAAAACGTGCTTAAGGACTTAACTCTTGAACAATCCAGGTCTAATAGTGTCCCTTTGTTCTGAAATTCCCTAGCAGAGGAGGTAATTTAAGTAGAGAAGAACTATTAAAACTGTTAATGATTTTAAAGACCTGAATATAATCATCACTTAATCATCTAAATTCACAGGAATGCAAGCTAAATTTGTGTGAGCTGTCTTACGTTTAGAGGGAATGCGCTCTTTCGTCAGGTCTCATCCCTTGAATTTCTAATTTAATTTTCTCCCCACTGGAGTATGCGCCTGATGTAGGTCAGTACACAGCACTTGTTCCCAGGTCAAATACAGCGCCCAAAACTCCTGACACCATTTTAGCAACCTTCTACTGGCTATTTCTGCTCACTATCTTCCTGTGCAACTGCTCAAGATCCAGTTGACAGCTCTGAAGGTCAAATCTGCCAAACTCCACACTGGGGCACAGAACTCCAGTGTTTAGTGTCACCACTCTGAAAGCAGACTTCGGGCGAGGGGTTTACAAATGAAAATAAAAAGTCTATGAAGTCAGTTTCCTGCATAAATAAAATCATTCAAAAAAAAAAATAGGATGTTTAAATATCTTTTAGTATTTGCTCAAAATAAGTACTCTGAAAAATCAAAATTAAAGGAAATATTCTAAGCATCATTAAAACCTCATCTCTTGCCTTATCGTATAACTTGGACTGACCACCCCAGCAGTGAAGAGAGCATTAAAATTCCAGCAGCGAAGAGAGCATTAAAATTCCAGCAGTGTACGGCAAATAGAAAGTTATAAGGAAGTACAAGCATGACAGCTCCCAACTCACCAATTTGCAGATAGGAATATGCTGCAAGCTGCAAGTTTACCAATCGATCTTTGCTGGGGTTTCGGGGTTGGACATTCATAATATCTCTTTCAGCTTTCTCGTATGCCAATGAAATAGACGGGATCTGTTGATGAAGCAATCAGTTGATGTGAAGCCTTACCAACAATTGTGAATCAAACATTTCGGCGTTTAGATAATACAGGGTTCAGATAATTAAATAAAATAAATCAAAGGCTTTTGTATGTTGCTAAGGGAGATCTTGTGGCACAGTAAAATGTCACTATCTCTGAGCCAGTAGTCAGAAGTCACACAACACCAGGTTATAGTCCAACAGGTTTATTTGCAATCACAAACTCCAGATCAAGGCCCTGTCTCCAGCCCTTGCCCTACCTGTTGTGGAGATCATAACGTTGTGCATCAGACCAGCCTTTAGACAGAAAACTGAAGGTGATGATGTTGCTAAGGTTTCCAGATAAAAAGGAAAGTGGTCTGCCGGAGTCAAAATTTTGCACTGCCATCATTACTATTTTAAAACAATGTTTCATTTACCCCTTTACAGGGCTGCAGGCACATGTTTGTATTGATTTCTTTTCCAATTTTCACAGTCTAGGCTAAATAATAGCATCCACAATTTTATAATAACTTAACCGTCTTGCTAGACTGAGATGTATGTTAAAATTAATGAATTAATAATGTGAGCTTGAATAATGTAAAGCATGGAAGAGAAAATGTAGTTTGAAATTTAACTTAAATTGCCCATTATCTTTCAATTGATTAAGAATAAAGCAATCATTAATCAGCAAGAATGGTAAAGAAAGAGGGAGGACAGAGATAAAAAGAAACTGGTATAACTCATTCTCAAGGATGAGTGAGTAATTACTTACAACATCTGTACCCAGGTCAATGAGGAGGATGGTAATAGTCCCAATGGGAAGTGGTATACTGGCAACGACGTACACAATGAATGGACACAGTTCAGCCATGTTCTTGGTCAGGGTGTAGGCAATGGCCTTCTTCAAATTGTCAAAAATCAGACGACCTTTTCAACACATTAAACCGATTTAGTAATGGAAAATGATTTGTTGTCTGATGTAAATTGATTCAGTACTATGACCTTCATAAATTCATCTGCATCATTAAAAACACCAATGCACAATTGATCATTTCCCAGATTCCCAATTTAATTCCCACAAACCTTAATTAGAGTTGAATAATTGGCCTGGGAATTTTTGATGTTTGAAGACCATCATTCCCTAACATGAAGTTCCTGCTCCAAATGCTTGTTCAGCATTCTTACTCTTCCATCTGATTTGAGATAATAATCTCTTTCACCAGATCTTTATAAAGTTATAACTGAGCAAAAAAAAAGCAAGATGGTTGTATATGCTGTAGCCTTTTTAATAAGGATGTGTCCAAAGTGTTTCTTACTCTCTTTCTTCCCTCACCTCCTGGATAGCAACATTCTACATGTGTTGGAAGTAGAGACAATAAAGAAAGAACATTGCATTCAGATTTGCACATGGGGCACTGAATTTTGCCTAGGTGGTGGGATCTTAATAATAGGCCAGATAGCTGACGACAACCTCACTTCAGCCATTTTGGGGAATCCCCCCTCCCCCAATTACATATAAAGTTAATGTGTTGCTATCAGTTCACCTGTCTCTTTAAGAGTCAACAAGTTGCCTTCCAGCACAGTCAACCAAAGGCTAGTAGCTCTTTGATTGGATGGCCACCAGGAGTAGTGGTCATTTTTAGGACAGGACCTCACTGACATGCAACAATGAATGTTGCCTTTGTATTAAATGAGTTGCATTGCACATCACCAGGCCCAGTCATTAATGGTGGCTGGGGAGTGCAGTGGGGATATTGACAAAGGGGAAGCCATTACCATGAACCATGATACCTATTTAGGAGGACTTCCTTCTCCCTGCTGATGAGCCAGCAGAGAGGCCACCAGGTGGGCTCCTAAGCTTTGGTTTGCTTTCCATCTCCTCCGTAACTACATCTTAGCATCATGTGCGTTATATCTTGTACCTTCTTCCACTCCAGTGACTATTGAGGCAAAGTTATCATCCAGTAGAATCATGTCTGCTGAATTTTTGGCTGCATCTGACCCCACAATCCCCATAGCTATTCCAATGTCAGCTTTTTTCAAAGCTGGCGAGTCATTAACACCATCTCCAGTAACTGCCACAATGGATCCCTGGTATAGAAAGAGGAAAGAGGATCTAATGAGAACATCAAGACCTGAGGAATTTTCTAGCTGAACAAGCTAAAGAGCTTCATATTTCCTAATCTTACTCAAATACATGTCAAACTTATGGTAACAACAGTAGTCACCATGAGCATTTTGAGGACAAATGGCAAAGACAGCAATCAAATGAAGTAGGCCATAAAAACCATTATACTAACTCATTATGTCTTCGTAGGTTCTCCACAGTCTGTTCCACTCAATCCACACAGGATACATAATGTACTACCAAGGTTGTTGCCTAACTCCATCTTATTCAGGGTTCTTAAATGGCTTTTTTGTTCTAAGCTACTTATTGTATACACATAGCAAGATGTTCAACTGTGGGGTTACTCCCTATGCTGTTTAATGATTTCAACATATATAGTGACGCTTACTTAGCTCTAGAATGTGATACAAAGGTTTAGTTGCTTAACTGTGGATGTCACAAAGTTACTCCAACTTAACCACTTCCTTGTCTGGACAGTCACAATTTAAATTAGACTGGAGCATCTAAACTGTTATCTATGGATCATGTTCAGCCTCTGAAGTCCTCAGCACTACAGCAATTGAGCAATAAATTGTTCATTTTATCTGTGAGAACGTTGTAGGCCTGGAGAGGTCAAAATGATGCTGTTGCCTCCTTGGTGTTTGAGTCATGAATCAGAATATCATCAATGGTTAGTTACCATCCTAAGAAAAGAGTGGATTTCTACCCTGGTAAAATTAGATGGATTAATGTCTTAGCTGAGAAGGTGGTACCTGCAACAACACTGCACTTCCTTAGTACTGGACAAGAGCTTCAGCCTAGATTATGTACTCTGTACCCTGTAGTGGGCTTAAATCCATGACCTTCCAACTTAGAGGTGAGAACTTTACTACTTGTCCAAGCAAACCTGTTGTATTTACACATGAATAGATACCTGTCTTTGGCAGGCTTCTACGATATATAATTTCTGCTGAGGTGATGTCCTGGCAAATACAATTTCAGTGTGGTTCCTCAAAATGTCATCCAGGAACTCAGGGTCCATGTCTTGGAAATTCGAACCATTTATGACAGCAGCTTTGGCGTCACTTTAGTATTCAAAATATGAACAACAATTACGCCAGTTTTTAAACTAATGTAATAATTTGACATTATCATATAAGATATTCAGTTAGCACAAGCTATGCAGTGGATTTAGTGAGAATAGTTTGTTCTATAGGGCAGAAATTCCCCACATACAAAAGATACAATGTGTAAGTAATCAGGTTTACATGTCTGCCAGGAATACAACAATACACCGATCGCTCAACATGCTGTATCAGCCATTTAAAAGTTTATACTGGATATCAATTGTGAACTCACCTCAAGTTATTTACTTGCCTGTGGTATTGTCTCTTAGTTCAGGGCATCACCTGGTAATCTAGGTATAACTCTACAATTCTACATCCCTGACAGGGAGCTGAACTGATAGGGAGTACTGAAGAGAGGTACTAAATCTGCATTGCTGTGAATTTGTCTTCAATCTAGTGCAGTGCCTGTTGCCACTTATACCGATTTGGGAGTGCAAAACTATGGGATTTCATTCTCTGTTCCTCATTTGCAAAATTTGAAATCTGTTGCCAAAAGCATTAAATCCCAACATAAGTGTGGAGGCTCCAATGGCAACTAACCCCTCGTTCCCCCAGTGAGAAAGCCCATTAGGTCAAACATCAATCAAGGCTGATTGGTCAGCTGTGTGCTGACCAAAATGCTTCTTGGCTTGACACATGCCTTGTCAGTGTAGGCCCATCCTCCTGAAGTTTCCACCAATCAAGTACTGGCAGCTACTCAGAGCTGCAAAGAACATATAGAGGCCTAGACTGGGCAGCCATCAACAACTGGACAGGTGCGATAGTATTTTTCTTTTGAAGGGTATGGAGGCAAGGGCAGGTGGGTGGTTTTCAGGAGCTATCCTCTGCCCTTCATTGACCCAGATTGGGATTAATAGAGGTCCACAAAACCCAGGGCAGACCACTCTGATTTCCCGAGGAGAGACAGCCATTATCTTGCCTATACAAGGCAGTTTGAGACCCTTAAGTGGTTGTTAGTTGACCACTCGAGCCATAATTGATAGAACTGTGAAGACGTCGCCTATGGGATCTCCACCCGAACTTAGTGGCAAGAAGTGGGCAGGTAACTCCCTTGTCCGCTCCACACTCCCCTCCAGCCCCACCACCCCCGGCACTTTTCCCTGCAACCGAAGCAAGTGCTACACCTGCCCCTACACCTCCCCCCTCACCCCCATCCCAGGCCCTAAGAAGACCTTCCACATCAAACAGATGTTCACCTGCATATCTGCTAATGTGGTATACTGTATCCACTGTTCCCGTTGTGGCCTCCTCTACATCGGGGAAACCAAGCGGAGGCTTGGGGACCGCTTTGCGGAACACCTATGCTCGGTTCGCAACAAACAACTACACCTCCCAGTTGCGAACCATTTCAACTCCCCCTCCCACTCCTTGGACGACATGGCCATCCTGGGCCTCCTGCATTGCCACAATGATGCCACCTGAAAGCTGCAGGAACAGCATCTCATATTTCGCTTGGGAACCCTGCAGCCCAAGGGTATCAATGCGGACTTCACAAGCTTCAAAATCTCCCCTCCCCCGACCGCATCCCAAAACCAGCCCAGCTTGTCCCCGCCTCCCTAACTATTCCTCCCACCTCAAGCCCCACCCCCATCTCCTACCCACTAACCTCCTCCCGCCTCCTTGACCTGTCCGTCCTCCCTGGACGGACCTATCCCCTCCCTAACTCCCCACCTACATTCACCTTTACTGGCTCCATCCCCGCCTCTTTGACCTGTCTGTCTCCTCTCCACCTATCTTCTCCTTTATCCATCTTCTATCCGCCTCCCCCTCTCTCCCTATTTATTTCAGAATCCCGTTCCCCTTCCCCATTTCTGAAGAAGGGTCTCGACCCGAAACGTCAGCTTTCCTGCTCCTCTGATGCTGCTTGGCCTGCTGTGTTCATCCAGCTCTACACCGTGTTATCTCAGATTTTCCAGCATCAGCAGTTCCTACTATCTCTATCTCTCTGGTGTTAGTTGGCCTGAATATTTGCCCTTTCTGTCATCTGGCCCATTGCTTTTAGAATCAGAAACATCCCACCTTGTAAAGAGCCAAAAATACACACACCAAAAAAATGCTAGAAACAATCAAAAAGTCAGCCAACAGTCAAAAAGAGAGAGTAAAAAAATTAGGTTGACATCTTTGCATCAGAGGCAAACTAAAGAATACTTGCAAAACCAGGAGAACTGAAGAAAGCAAAGAATGGCTTGTAACAAATTCTTGTTGATTAGCCAGTACGCTTTTTGCAACAATTAAATCTCAATAGAAGTACTAAAGAATGATTTTTTTGTGTAACACAGATTACCTCAATCTACCTTTTATTCACTTGGTTGACAGAAACATTAAGACGCTTTGCAATGTCTTCCACTGTCTCACTACCTGCTGAGATAATGCCAGTACTCTTTGCTATAGCTGTTGCTGTGATTGGGTGGTCACCAGAGACCATAATGACCTGTTGGGGAAGAAAAATAGGAATTTATATCAAAAACAGGTTTTTCAAAAAATCCAAAGTTCAAGAATTTTAAATCCATGGTATATTATTAGTTTTAGATAACAAGGTGTAGAGCTGAATGAACACAGCAGGCCAAGCAGCATCAGAGGAGCAGGAAAGCTGACTTTTCGGGTCTAGACCCTTCTTCAGA